AGACATCTACTTAGCCATCTGATGCTGCACAGAGACCCTTTGGTGGTGTGGCCAGGGCACCTTCCAGCCTCTCTGTGCGTCCAGGGACTGGGCCATCTCTCTCTGACCAGGACAGCCTGGCCCTGTGCATGGCTCTGGCACCACAAAACTCTGAAATCAGGTCTATGCCCACCCAGACATCTGAGCTGCCCCCACCTGCCCCGTCTAGGCTAGACCCTGACTAGCTCCTCACCAATCTGGCCCCTCACCTACAAGAGTCTCTTCTAGCCCTAGCTGGTTTGGGGTATTTCCATTTTTAGAGGAGGCTCCACCTAAAGGTTCCCCAACCCTCTTCACATTCCTGCTTCCCCCTGGACTGACCACCTGTCTAATGACCACCTCCATTTTTTCCTTTTAAAGAAACACTGTTGCCCTAGCCGGTTTGGCTCAGTGGATAGAGCATCAGCCTGTGAACTGAAAGGTCCCAGGTTCGATTCCGGACAAGAGCACATGCCCAAGTTGCAGGCTAGATCCCCCCCAGTAGAGGGCATGCAGGAGGCAGCTAATCAATGATTCTCTCTCATCACTGATGTTTCTATTTCTCTATCTCTCTTCCTTCCTCTCTGAAATCAATAAAAATATTTTTTAAAAAAACTTTAAAAAAAAGATGAAAAACTTCAAGACAAGATCAATCAGGACAAACAAGATTCTTGACAAGTGCAATGAAATCATCATTGGCTTGATAAGAACCAGACTGCGGAAAAGGAAGAATTTGAACATCAGCAGGAGTTGGAAAAAAATCTGCAACCTCATCATTATCAAGTTGTACCAGGGTGCAGGAGGCATGCCAGGAGAAATGCCTGGGGGCTTTCCTGGTGGAAGAGCACCTCCATCTGGTGGTATCTCCTCTGGGCCCACCATTGAAGAGGTTGATTAAGCCAACTTTGAGCATAGGTTTAGCATTTTTTCACACAAAATAGTGAAGGATGCAAATTTGTAGCAAATTCCATGGCAATTTTAAAAGCTGAGCTGCTGCATAGTAAATAACTGGGCATTCTTGATACTTAATATGGACTATGTGCACAGGGAAAGTAAATAATGCACTTTACAACACTGAATTGTTAAGTGGAAAATGCAACGCCTTAAAACTAATTAAAATTGGCACCATAAAAAAAGAAATAAAATGTATTTTTATTGATTATGTATCTGACCAGAAATTGAATCATGACCTCCTGGTTCATAGGTGGACACTCAACCACTGAGCCACGCTGGCCAGGCTCAAGATTTCTTAATATCTTCTGTAATATTCCACTCAGAAGGCAGAAAGCCACAAAGTCCTTCTCTAAGGATGGGCATAATTGGAAAATAATATTGCATTCCTTCACTGTATAGAATACAAACTATGAAGACAAGGAAACTCAATTATTTCCATTTCTATCCCCAGATCACTTTTGTTGAAGAACTGCTCACTTAACATTCTAGAAGCTATCTTGTTGAGATTTGCCACTGTGATCTATGAGTGATGAACCTTTTTTCCAGTTAGTGTTATGGCTATCACATTGCCTTCATTTATGGGATAGCTAAAAGGACAAACCCTCAGTATCTATTAGAGAAATTGTGCACATAATTATTTTTCTGTCAAGATCCCCCACTAAGTTTTTATTTTTTTCTGAACCCTGAAAAAGATAATGCTCATATATATTATTAGCTACAACTGTGCCAGGCCCCATTTTAAGTGCTTCTCATGTTTTATTTTTTTCCAACAACTTATATGCACTATCATTAAAACTCACTTTTCAGGCGAGAAACCGGCAGGTTAAATGCATCTAAGACCACACTGACAGTTAAAGGGCAGAGACTCAGGATTTGAATATATTCTGGCTCCTGAGAATACATGATTCACAGTAACTGCCCTCTGAAATAATTCCAGTATTACCATACTAGACCCCCGCCCAATTTTCTGAAAGCCAATAGTGACCCACTTACTATTCTCATAATCCCTCCTTTCTCTCTGAAATCAATAAAAAAAATATTTTTTTTAAAAAAAAGAGTCTCTTCTGGTGCCTGGCATCAGCTCTCACTGCTCCCCTGCTCAGACACCACCCATGGCTCCCCATGGTCCCCAGCTGGGCACTCGAGGCTGTAAGGACCTAGCCCCAAGAGCGCAAACCAAAGGGTGCTCCCTTCTCCCAGTGCTCTCCCGCCTCTAGCAGAAACGCACAGGTCACTCTTTCTACCAGGTGCTCCCTTCTGTCTACCGGGTCAACCCTTAAATATCTTCCACAGAAAAGGTCCATGATGGACAAACCTTACTCTCCACCTCGTCCTTTGAGGCCTTCTGATCCAGCATGGGGCTAGGATGGTCAGGAGGGAGTGTTTCTCAAATGCATGGATAAGACACTTCCTTGGTGGAAGAAGGATGGACGGGAGCAGGGTCCCAGACTTGGAAAGAGGTGATGTGATTTTTTTTTCAGAGCATCAACCCATTTCCCAGCATCAAAATCTGAGACCCTTGAGGGTGGATCTCGCTTGGGGTTGGTATTACAAGATCCAAGTCCATACGGCACCCACTCCTCTTCTAACTGTGCCCCACCAGGGAGGGGGCTAGCTAGGTTCATGTCTCCACTCACCAAATGTGAAAAGTGCGGCCCAGGGAGGGTGAGTGACATACCCACTCTCATAAGGAGTCAGGACACTCCCTTTCCATGCCCTACTCTCCAATCAGCAGTCACAGAAGAGGTCTGGGGTGTGCGTGCGTGCGTGCGTGCATGCGTGTGTGTGTGTGCGTGCGCGCGCGCAGAGGCAGATGCCCCCAGGGACCAAGGCTACCAACCAGGTTGGAAAGCTGATGCCAGAATACCTAGGAACCCTGTAGACCAAAGTCCCTGGGACATAGGAAGGTACAAAGATTCCCTTCCCACCCTGGCCGCTATGAGGAAAGCCCAGCAAACTCAAGCCCTCCCCCTTAGCAGCTGTGGCCTCCAGCATGTCAGATCATCTCTCCATGCCTCAGTTTCCCCACCTTACAGGGCTGCTGTAAAGATCAAGAGAATTAATTCACAGGGACAAAGCGCTCAGAACAGGTGTACAGCAAGTGCTCACTAAGTGATTTTAAAGCAAATAAACGATGCCAGCACTTCTCGAACCACATTCCCATGTTCCTGCCTCTACCTCTAGTATTATCTGCTTGTTCCTTCCCTTCACATCACTCACTGTTTGAATCGAACCCCCTGGTTTTAGAAGGAAACATTTCATTGTTACCGAGACTGGGAAAACAAGAAGCCTCGGCCACAGAGTAAAAACACGGAAAAATAGACACAATGAAAACGAGAGCCTGTTATTCAATTATCACTGGATATTGCTGCCTTTTAACCGGCTGTGTCTCTCGTTAAAAAGGGAGATTAGCAAGTGTGAAAGAAACATTAAGGATCCAGTTAGCACCCAACAGAGACTTCTTAAAGATGTCCAGGCCTGAGGGTGGGGAGACATCTGGGAAGGTCCTGCCCCAGCTCCGCTCTCTAGCTCCTATCCCAGGGCTGGAGCCCTGCCTTGAGCCAGGATAGAGCTCGGGCATTTGAGAATGGCTGCTCTCAGCTAAAATATCGTTACTTTACCAGCCAGACCCTGAGGCTCCGAGAGGAGCAGTACCTCACGGGGGCCCACACAGCAAGTCCTCCCAGGGCAGGACGGGCATCCAGCTCTCCCCACCAGGAGTGTGTCTCTGCTCTGCCACCCCCACCCTTGTCCCATCTTTGCAGCATCAGCCATCTATCCCAACAGCGCGGTGATCAGCTGCTGCTTTTCAACAAATCCTTAAAGTCTTAAACTAATGAAAATATGTTTAATCCTTAAATTCTTTAACGAAGGAAAACTTGTTTAATCCTTTAACAACATTTTGTGAAATTCTTAAATTTATTTTTTCAGGTTCTCTTTTTAAAATTTTATTTTTAAAAGAAAGTTCCCAGCACCACCATAAGCCTTACAACCATCTCCTGTGACTCTGATGGCAAAATCCACGGAAACGGAACGAGGTGAGTGACTTGTTCTAGGGGCTGTTGCCTCTGTGCCTGGAGCCTGCTCTGCCCTCGTGGGAAAGGACCATGAGCACGGAATGAGCGAGGGGCAGGTGTTCCAGTCAGGGCAGCACCAGTGCAGCCTCTCCTCACCATCGTCAACCCAAGCTTTCTCTCATGCCTATTCGAGCCAGGTAATGCCAAGTCCCACCCCACATCTGTACCCAGAAAAGCCAGTGATCCACCTAATTGGGGGGGGGGGCATGGCACCATATCTGACCTGTGACCAAGAAGGTACAGGACAGGGCACCCTACTTGTGCTGTGTGACCCCGGGGCAGTACTGCCCCTCCCCAGCCCCTCAGTATCCACACTGAGAAAGAAAGGAGTGGTGGGAAAGGAAACAATGAGATCCGATCAAAACATCCCTCATTGCTCTGCTCTGGGTGGGCATTTTCCTAGATTCTCACCTCTCATTCTCCAAGGCAGCCCCCTCCCCAAGGCCACACCCCGCCCAGGGTCTGCTGTCAGGAGGCCGAGGCTCCCCTTGGTCCCAGGGAGCAGAGCAGGTAAACAAGTGGGGGATCGTAGTGCAGACAAGTCTGGGCCCTGGCTCCCCTGAGCCCCTGGCTGGGCTCCCAGGGCGGGTTGGGGAGCAGCTAGGCCTTTGTCTGGGTTTTCAAAAGCAGAGGACACTGGGTGTCACATTCCGAGGAGGGCAGGAGGCGGGGGCTCCCACCCAGCCGAGGGTGTGGTGGGTCACGGGTGAATCCCTGGAGGAAAGTTGTATGTTCAGAAAACACACCCAGTGGGAAGGGCAGGGGGAGCTGGACTGGCCAGACCTACAAGTCCAGGCCCCCTGCCCCAAGGGGACCTGACCCAGAGCAGGATAACAGCTGTCTCTCCCCCCCCCACACACACACACACAGTGAGCAGGCTGCCGGGACCCCAGACACCTGCTTCCCACTCCCTGCCCTGGCAAACACACAGTACAGCCTCCCAGCGCCCACCTGTGGGAGTGGGGGTGTGGGGCCACCCCGACGCCAGAAAGCAGGACTCCGTCTGAAATGACCATGCACACTCACTCCGCACCTGCTTGTGCAAGAACCCTGGCCCAGGAACTCTTCACCTCACCCTCCACAGACCCAGGCCACCCATTCCATTGCAGGCAGGGGTCAGTGCCCTCTTGGCTGCACCATCTGGGGCCCTATGTAGGGGGCACTTTCCCGGAGGGGATCAACTCCATGCTCCCCTGTTGGAAGGCACCTGGACCTCCAGTCGCACACACCCCAGACCGGAAGCCTGGAGAGAAGGCCCCTCCCTCCAGTGGTAACTCGGGACAACATCTGGCTGCCGACCCTCCCCCCCCCTCAGGCCCCGGCCTTAACAGGGGCTCTAGACAGCACTCGAGGCCGGTGGGGAGGGCAGCCAGACGGAAGGAGGATTGACCCGTGGGCGCGTCCAGGGCGCAGCGAGCAGCGAGCTCAGGCTGGGGAGTGAGGGGGTGAGGGTGGGGAGGGTGAGCTCAAGGCCTGACCTGTGCAATGGGGAGGGGTCGCTCCATCACCCCAGGGGGCCCACTCAGGAGCCCACAGGTGGCCGAGGCTAGCCCAGGGGGTGCGGGCCGGGCGGGGACAGAAACACGCGCCTCCCCCTCCCAGTGTCCTGGGCTGCCCCCC